CCACTGCTTTTCACTACTTGCACTTGCAATTACAGAGAATGGAAATAGATAAAGTTGATTTAGGTAGGAATCGGTTCGTAGATAGAAATGTTAACTTCGCTAAGCGTAGATTATTTCATTCCAGATAAAATTTAGGCTTAATGATTTCGAACAATGTTTGGAAGTTCACAAAGGTTTGATTACTATTACGTGTATAACATTTGAAGAACAACATTGTGAACATATACTAGACCAATGATTTTATCCAAAACGTGCAAAAACTATATTAATATTTATGGCAAAAAATGAATGAAAAATGTATTTTACTTATATTTTGGTATTTTGGAAATTCTTTATTTTTTAAGATTATAAAATAATAAACAAGAGCTAGTGAAATATGAATGCAGAAATTTCCAAAATTAAAACTCATTTATTTAATTGTGAATTTAAAAGCATTTTCTTAGAATAATTGCTTATCTATCTTTTTTTAAAAAAAAATTTTCAAAAAAGTATTTGCCTCATTTTCAGTAACGTTAAACTGAGTTTTTTTTACAAATTTTTATTTAACTTGCAATGTAAAATGTTCGGGTGGAATCTTGCAACTCAATTTTGAAGCTGATGTCTTCAAACGATTGAGCTGAAATTTTGTATACACGTTTAGTTTGGATGACAATGCATGTTTTAACCCTTTAGATTGCGATATCGCAATTAGTTAAAAAGATATTAATTAAAGTACCATAAAATACGGCTCATAACGCGCACTTTTAACACAAAAATTAAGATGGAAATTTAAGGGTGCGCGTTACACGTCGGGTATAAAAACGATAGCTTTAAAAAACAAAAGAGATGAACATAAAAAAAAAATCCCTTCTTTTTGTTTCGAAATACTGTTTATTTAAAAGAAAGGACTTGCTTTATGAACTAAAAGAGATGCAGTTCTAGAAGCATACTATTTTTTTTTCAAAAATTTGGAATAATACCTCGAATAAATGACTTCAAAACATAAGAGCAATGCATACTAATGTTTCAGATTTCTTAGTAAAAATGGGGGTGCGCGTTATACGGCGAATATACCTAAAAATTGAAAAATGCAGCTTGAAAGTATGGGTGCACGTTATACGCCGGATTTTACGGTAATTTGTTCGGGTGGAATCTTGCAACTCAATTTTGAAGCTGATATCTTGAACCGATTGAGCTGAAATTTTGTATACACCTTTAGTTTGGATGACAATGCATGTTTTGACGATTTATATTCCGATATCCACCTAGTTACTGTAACGATCTTGTAGAGGAATTAAGGCGAGCATGTTTAAAATAATGAAGGTGTGGACAGGGGGTGTAGCTCAGATAGAAGAGCGCTCGCTTAGCATGTGAGAGGTAAGGGTATAGATACCCCACGCCTCCAATTATTTTTTTCGTGTAAAGGCCGTATCACACGTACACGTTTCAAGCAATTTTTCGTTCAATTCGTGCAATTTTTACTCAGTTGCCATAGCAACCGCTTTAGAACAATTTTTTGCTAGCGAGCTCAAAAAGTTGTTCCAAATAAAATTGCTTGAAATTCCAGCCAATGGGGTTCTTCGGCGCCCTACGTCATAAACAAGATGGTGATTCCGGTTTCGTCTAACACTTCAGATATGCCGTATAATATTTTAATGGTGTATAATATTTTAACGGCGTATAATATTTTAAATAGAATGGTGCTCTATTTTTAGTTTACACCCATCAACAATTGCTCAAGCGAAATGAAAGAAATAATTTTGGATGTTCATTTTCTGAAGCAGAAAAATCGGCGAGTAATTTTTCAATGTGGAGATAGAGCGCGGCTGACGTCAGAGCGTGTCGTTTTGTTTACGGCAACCCTTCCCCCTCAGATTCGGCCAAAAATTGGACGAAAAAATTGCATGAAAAATATACGTGTGATACGGCCTTAAAACATTTTTGAAATTCGTTTGCTTTGTACAACAGGATATTTGACAATACTTCCACTCAGCATACGTGCAAAGTATGTTATATTTTTACTGTTCTAGAGGGAACACTAAGAAAGGCAGATCTATCAAGCTATTTCTATTTACTTTGAAACATTCTATGATATCTATTTACTTGTTTCTAGTTTCTCCCGGAACACTTTTAATTGACCTAGTTACTGTAACGATCTTGTTCATGTGTTAAGGTGAGCATGTTTACAATAACACAGGTGTCGACTGGAGGCGTAGCTCAGATAGTAGACCGCTTGCTTAGCAAACGAGAGGTACGGGGATCTATACCCCGCCTTTCCATTTATTATTCTTTCGTGTAAAATATTTCTGAAATTCATTTGATTTGTGTACAACGAAATATTTTACAATACTTCCACTCTGTATACGTACAAAGTGTGTTACATTTTAGAAGCTTTTATTCAACTTGCAATGTAAAATGTTCGGGTGGAATATCGCAACTCAATTTTGAAGCTGGTGTCTTCAACCGATTGAGCTGAAATTTTGTATACACGTTTAGTTTGGATAGCAATTCATTCTTTGACCATTTATATTCCAATATCGCAAATAGTTTAAAAGACTCGATGCATGGCCCGGCATTGCACGGGATTTCTCTACTTTTATAAATTTTCCCTTTCCTTCACAAAATCAGCTGTTCTAATACTCTTTTTCAAAACGACTTCCACACACCCCCTTTCCCTCCTCCAGTTAGCCCGGCGTAGCTCTTGCTTTTACCGAGTGTGTAACTTAAAATTCCCTGTTACGAAATTTTTTCGCTTCTTTTCTTTGTCACAGGTTTATTGGCGGGCCCCCCGCGCGCCGGGGGGGGGGGGGGAGGTTTAAAAGGGGGGCAGATGGGGAGGGGGGGTCCCCTTCTCCTCTCGCTATCGGAGCTCTCTAGTAAGTGAACATTCCATGATTCTTAAGCAGCTTGCCTTGTGCAGCCATCTAGTGGTACAAAAAGTAATGAATTATTGCACACAAAAAATTCATAAAAAAGTTTTCGATATTTTATTTTTTAAATTACTAACTGTAAAATATCAAAGTATGAGTTTTCTAAAAATCATTTTCATGTAAACGCATCGATATTGATCCATTTTGGAAAAAATCATAAAACATGTAAAGTATCGTTGCTTTGCAAAAAAAAAAAAAAAAAAAAAAAAAAAAATAAAAAATTTAAGGAAAAATTTTTTAAAAGAAAAAAAAAAATTTTATGTTTTTTTTTAAAAAAAAAAAAAAAAAAAAACTGTATTGTGACGAAATAAATTTTCTTTCCAATTACAAAATTGCTGGCAAAGTTATTAAATGCGCAAATAAGATTTTGAGTATTTTTTAAAAAAAAAATCATAAAAACTAAGCGATGATGTTGTTATGAATCCGGATACCAAAGTTACTTATCCAGCGCTCTAAGCGATCAATCCATGAAATCTTCAGAATAAGAGAAATGAAAGACCTTTAAAATAAAAGGAAGTGATATTCAATTTCGCATTGCGTTATTTGTTAAAGTTAAAATTTTTTTTGGGTTTCACTTTTAAAGTTAATGCCTTCAAACTTCATATATAGATTGAAAACAATGGTAATTTTTAAACAAAATTGTAACAAAAATGATACTTCAATATTTCTAGCAAAAAGGGAAAAAAACGAAAAAAAATTATTTTTTTTTAAACCGTAATTTTTAAGCAATTGTTTCACTCTTTGTACAGATTACAGATGATATCGTTCTACACAAGGAAAAAAAGTTTCATGAGATTTTTTTTATAAATGAAGAAATTATTAAGTATTTAAATAAAATTTTGAGTATTTCTTGAAAAATCATAAAAAAAAAATTTTTTTTTACATTTTATTTGTTAAATGACTGATTCTAAAAGAGAAAAGCATGAATTTTATTATTGTTGAATATCATTTCATTAACGTGAAAGAAAATGCAATCGGAATGA